CCTCTGCTCTCTGTCTTTTCCCCTGGGCCTGGGTTGCCCCAACACCCTGCCTGAGCAAAAGCAGTTCCCAGAGGACTGATTCCACTTGGGTATATACATCTGAGTAGATAGCTGGGTCTGTGGCCATGACAGACATGAGGGTGGGGCTGTCCTAGAGCAAGAAGTGGTTGTCAGGCCTGTGCTAACCTCACTTCCCTCCATTTGGGGGTCTCCGCAGCTCTTATGTTCCTCCTGGGTATCCTGGACTTCCTTTTTGTCAGCCACGCTTATCATAGCATCCTGACCCGGGGGGCTTCTGTGCAGCTGGTGTTTGGCTTTGAGGTAAAACTTAAGTTTGAGGGGTTGGGGGTGGGAACAAAGCTGAGGTGGTACTGCATGTGCTATGAGCAATCCTACAAATGCTTCTTGAGCACCTGCTCTGTCTCCACCAGGGAGCAGCCATCATTTAGTTCTGCCTGTCCTCATACACTCCTAAGTGATTGCAGAAGGGCACAAAAAAGGCTGGCATAGAGGATTCATGACCTGGGCACCTTAGCAAGCTTTCCTGGAGGCTGGTGCCTCAGCTGGCTGTGGGGTAGATCACCCAGGAGCCGTGTCCCAGCTCACATTTGCTGAGTACTTACCACATGCCATGCCTTATATGCATGAGTTACGTCTCATAATCAACCAGACCACGTTGTCGTAGATGACAGATGCTTCGCTTTACAAATGAACAGGTGAGCTAGCTGCTCTAGTCCCAGGCTGTGAGGGCCCTGTCTATGTCCAAGCCTGCATTGGTACCGCTGAACCTGCTGTATGAAGTCTGGGCCTGGCTAGGGCAAGGGGAAGCTGGCGCTTACATTCGTCTCATGTCCCTCCCTCCAGTACGCCATTCTGATGACCATGGTGCTCACCATCTTCATCAAGTATGTGCTGCACTCCGTGGACCTCCAGAGCGAGAACCCATGGGACAATAAGGCTGTATACATGCTCTACACGGAGCTGTTTACAGGTGACAGGAGCCTGGGCCTCTCCTGATCCACACCAGCATCCCCTGTGTGCCTGCAGCTCTTGTGGCCAGCTGTGCTCTATCTCCCCCCCCCCCAGGCTTCATCAAAGTCCTGCTGTACATGGCCTTCATGACCATTATGATCAAGGTGCACACCTTTCCACTCTTTGCCATTAGGCCCATGTACCTGGCTATGAGGTGAGTCCAGCCTTGTCCCGTCACTGTCCCACACTGATCTCACCCATGTGTCTTCCTACACTCGTTGACTTGTCTCTTCAGGCAGTTCAAGAAAGCTGTGACAGATGCCATCATGTCTCGCCGAGCCATCCGCAACATGAACACACTGTAAGTGGGGTTACCCTGGCTCCTCTCCCAAACTTTGTCCTAGGTCGCTTTGCTCCAAGTTCGGATCCTGACACACGCTCTGCCATCTTATCCAGGTACCCAGATGCCAGCCCTGAGGAACTTCAGGCAATGGATAATGTCTGCATCATCTGCCGAGAAGAAATGGTGACAGGCGCTAAGAGACTGCCCTGTAACCACATCTTCCATACCAGGTGGGAGAAGGTCTGGGGGACTTGCATTTTGGGCACAGGCTCACGGGGACCTGCTCACCACTGCCTGATCTTACTTCCAGCTGCCTGCGCTCCTGGTTCCAGCGGCAGCAGACCTGCCCAACCTGCCGTATGGATGTCCTGCGGGCATCATTGCCAGCCCAGTCACCACCACCCCCTGAGCCTGCTGACCAAGGACCACCCCCTGCTCCTCATCCTCCACCACTGCTGCCACAGCCTCCCAACTGTAAGTGGTCCTTCATTTGCCCTCAGAGGACCTTCCCTGCCCTCAGGTACTCGCCCTGGGCTTCGTACTGGCAATGCTGGGGAAGCCCAAATGTCTGCCCTCCAGAAGTTCATTCTGGACAGGAAGGGATGAGAAATGGATAAATGACTAGTGGTAAGCTCAGGGGCCTGCAGGAGTGGAAGTCAGGTCAGCCCCTCGTAGCCAAACATCTCGCTTGGGAGTGGGAGCGTCCGCTCATTCCTCTACTCCACCGTTTTCTCTCTGCAGTCCCCCAGGGCCTCCTGCCTCCTTTTCCTCCAGGCATGTTCCCACTGTGGCCCCCAATGGGCCCCTTTCCACCTGTCCCACCTCCCCCAAGCTCAGGAGAGGCTGCAGCTCCTCCATCCACCAGTGCAGGTAAGCATTTTGCATGCTAAAGCAACTGGGGTGGCAGTCATATCCAGAGACCCGAAGACTGATTTTCGTTCTGTGCTTGGCCAGCTGTTTCTCGGCCCAGTGGAACAGCCACCACCACAGCTGCTGGCACCAGTACCTCTGCCCCAGCGTCTGGCTCCATCCCTGGCCCAGAGGCTGGACCTGCCCCTGGCTTCCCCTTCCCTCCTCCTTGGATGGGTATGCCCCTGCCCCCACCTTTTGGTAAGTTGGTACTCTCTGGGATGTTCAGGGTAAAGAAGTCAGACCCAGGTAGCTAAGACTGACCTCTGCTTTCTGCCAGCCTTCCCCCCAATGCCTGTGCCTCCTGCCGGCTTTGCTGGCCTGACCCCAGAGGAGCTGAGGGCACTAGAGGGCCATGAGCGACAGCACCTGGAGGCCCGGCTGCAGAGTCTGCGCAACATACACACACTACTGGATGCTGCCATGCTGCAGATCAATCAGTACCTCACTGTGCTGGCTTCCTTGGGGTATGTATTCTAGTTGAGCTCTACGAGGTCCCTTGTAGTTTTTGACATTTGTCTTCCGTGTACCCTGTAGTGTATTCTGTTTCCTCAGGCCACCTATCTACAGGCATGTCTGGGAGCTCTTGATTATGCCTAGTGCTTTCATCCTTCTTTCGAGGAAATGCATCCACAGCTGTGTAGAGTCAGTGAAATTTATTCATGTTTTTCGAAACTCAAATTATTCCTGACATTTGCTACTACAGTCCATCACTGCGTACTCCTGACACTGAGGGCGCAGATAATAGAAAGTCACTTCAAAGCCGGGCAGTGGTGGCACACTTTAATCCCAGCTCTCGGGAGGTAGAGGCAGGTGGATCTCTGTGAGTTCAACGCCAGCCTGGTCTACAGAGCGAGTTCCAGGACAGGCTACAAAGTAATACAGAGAAACCCTGTCTCAAATTTAAAAAAAAAAGTCACTTCAGACCAGCCAGTGCCATGTTCACCAGTGCCAATCTCATCGCTTTCTTGCTTGAAGACTTGCTTTACAGCCGGGTGTTGGTGGCACATGCTTTTAATCCCAGCACTTGGGAGGCAGAGGCAAGAGGATCTCTTCAAGTTCGAGGCCAGCCTGGTCTACAAAGCTACATGTCTGGGAATCTGAGAAACCCTGCCTCTCGGGGGGAAAAAAAAAAAAAAAGACTTGCTTTACATTGGAATAGAAATCAAATTCCCATTCATAGGTGACATGTGCAAAGGGCTGGCAGGTAGCTGTAGTCCAAGGCTTGAACACTCCACTTCCCAGTAAACCCCTCTAAGGTGCCCATCTCTCGAGTGGAGACTGAAGAAAATGTGAGATGGGTCAGCTGTCACTACCTCCAAGTGACTTACAGTTCATGGTTCTGAATCACCTGAGACGTGAATCCATGTGTTCACTTATCTCTGCTTCTCACGAGAACTTAGGGCTTGTCCTGCAAGGCTTGTTTGGATGGTGCAGTTTAGTAGGAAAATCTGTCCAACCCACGGTGTGAAGGTCAGGCCTCCTTTGTCCCTTCTCTTTCAGGCCCCCCAGGCCAGCTACTTCAGTCAACCCCACTGAAGAGACTGCCTCTGCAGTGGTATCTGCTGCCCCCTCCACTAGCACCCCCAGCTCTGAGGCCCCTACCCCATCTCCAGGAGCCTCCCCACCAGTCCCTGAAGCTGAAAAGCCTCCCGGTAGGTGTGATTAACCTTGAGGGGTAAGGATGATAAAGTATTCTCTGGGTTTTACTTCTGACTTCTCTGTCTAGCTCCTGAGTCAGTGGGCACTGCAGAGGAGCTCCCTGAGGACGGAGAGCCAGACGCTGCAGAACTCCGCCGGCGCCGCCTGCAAAAGCTGGAGTCCCCTGTTGCCCACTGACACTGCCCAGACCTGGCCCTCGCCCTGCTTTCGAGTGGCCCTCTCCGGAACAAGTCCTGCCACCAAGTGCCAGCTCCCTGTCTGCACCAGGGAGTAGTAACCCCAGCTGAGAAAGAAGTGGCAGGGCCTCTGAGGCCAAGGAGAAGTGCTGGGCTCCCAGTGGATCGTCCCCAATGGCCCTGGCAGCCGTGGGGATGTTGTTCAGCTCTAACCTTCCTTTACCATTCTGCTGTGTTCTTCTGGGGCCTTGAAAGTAGAGGCTGAGCCTCTGGGAAGCCTCCTCTCCTGTGCTTTCTGTGAGAAGGTGAAGCCCCTCCAAGCCCTGCTTGTGAGTGTGGGACCATGCTGCAGTGCCGAACAGTATTAGCTTCTGTTCCCAAGTGTGGAGACCCAGGGGGGCTGAAGACAGACCAGGACCTTACCCCACCCTTCTGCCAAGACTGGTACCAGTCTCCTTCCTCTACCCCAATCTTCCCAGAAACCCCTTTGTGATGGTGGCTGTGCCCCCTAAGCCCTGTGGCACTTCCATGTCTTATTGGTAACCACACAACTCAGGGAAAGGAGTGCCTGGGGGTGGGGGACAGGCGGGCAGCACTGAGGGACCCTGTCCTGCTCCTTCCCAGGCTCTTTCCCCATCTCACCCAGCAGCTACTGCCTGGTGGGCCTGGCTGAGGGTGTGTGCTGCTCCTTAACCACTGCTCCCCAGAACCCAAGGCAGGCCACCCCCAACCTGTGGGACTTGAGTTCAGGATTGGAACTATTTCTGTACCTAGTGGCTTTTGGCTTAACTTTTGTCTTTTTGATTTGAATGCTTGACCCCAGGAAGGAGGAGCAGGAGTGAGGCTAGGTTTAGAACAGGCTCTGGGACAGGCAGGGGCCATGGAGCCAAGACCTAGCTGCTTCTTCCTTTTGGTTTTGTGTTACAGGAGTTTCTGGAGACAGTTTCAGATGATTATTTAATTTGTAAATACTGTACAAATTTTAATAGCTTACATTGTATATACAGCCAAATAAAAACTTGCATTAATGACTGGTGGGGCTTATAACTCTAGGATGGGACTCCTTTTCCTTGCCCAGCCTGTAGAGTTATGAATGGCCTGTGGTCTCCTGGAATGAGAATGCCAAGACTATTCAACAGCTAAGCATACTTTCATCTTACACACGGAAAACCTGAGCACTGGGAGGTTGGTATCTCGTCTACCTTACGTCTGCAGGCAAGCAGGGTAGCAGGATCTGAACACTGCTTAATCAATTTAATGGTGGAGTTGGACAAGTGGCTGATTTGGGATGGGACAGGAAGAGTGAAAAGCCTTCATTTTCTGTCTTCAAACCTCTACATAGCTGACTCCAGGACAGTAGGCTGATGTCCCCAACACTACCTATAACAGTACGCAGAAACTAAGATATTCTTTTGTCTGTCTTGTCCATTCCAGCCCATGTCATGTCATGGTCCTGTGTCATTTTCCATATTTGCCACTAAGCCCAGTCTAGCTTATAGCAAAAGCTCCTAAAGGATGGATGTCCCTGACAGGTCTGTCCTATGAAGCCCCCAGAATAGGTTTCAGTGGTTGTTTCCAGAATGGCTGACCTAAGAAATGCACCACAGTATATAAAGGGACAGCAGTTACTATCTCCCTTGGAAGCTTGACTGTTCCCTAAACCCTGTGCTTTGAATCCCATTCCAGAGACTTCAAATCCATTTCCTCTCTGGATGCCAGTTTGTAGAGGGCACTGCCAGAGGCTGATCATTGGTCCTCAGAAGCCTTTCTCAAGAAGCCAGGCTTTAAGCTGCTCATCAAAGTAGCCCTTGATTCGAAGAGTACCTGTCACCTCGTTAACCTGGGTGACAGGTGTCCTTCCCAGCTGTGGGCTCAGAAATTCTTCCACATCCTTCTGTAGAGCCTGGGGAAAGACAACTCCAGTCAACAGTTTCTAATTCCAGAGCTCCTCCCCCTTCAGCCCTAGAAGGATCAGGAACAGACCCAAGTCACTTACCCAGATGTCCCCTTCCACCTTCCGGATCACAGTCATCTGTCGGTTGCCATGTGTGATGTCCTTATAGACAGGGATATTATGCATCCGGGATCGACGAACAAAGTAGGGCAAGCTAGGAGGGGGATCTGTAAAGGGGTATGGTGTAGGAAGTCCACTTACCCTAGGCCTCAACCAAGGCCCTTCCCCTCACAAAAACTGCAAAGAGTTATGGGGGGGTTTGTTTTTGCTTTGAGACAGAGTAGGTCTCCTGAATCCTGTGTTAGCCTCAAACTTATGTTGCTAAGGATGACCTTAAATTCCTAATCCTCTCAGGGCGTTGGTGGTGCACGCCTTTAATCCCAGCACTCGGGAGGCTGAGGCAGGCGAATCTCTCTAAGTTCGAGACCAGCCTGGACTACCAAGCGAGTTCCAGGACAGCCTCCAAAGCCACAGAGAAACCCTGTCTCGAAAAAACAAAAACAAAAATTCCTAATCTTCCTACTTCTACCTCCCAAGCACAGGAATTTCAGGCTTGCTGCACCTGGCTGCAGAGGGTCATTAAACCCTGTTGGACAAAACTACCTCCAGATGCCTTTGTCCTTCAGTTTAGTAGGACTGAACTTTCACCTTAGTACTATACGGCTCCACCCTGGCCTGCCCCCATAGTGTTCAAGAAGAAATGAACTGGGCATGACTATTTATGCCTAGAATATATATATGTAGTTCAAGGCTAGTTTGAGCTACATTAGACACTGTCTCAAAGTCAGAAAACCAGGCATGATGGTGCACACCTTTAATTCAGCCAAAACTACACAGAGAAAACACTGTCTGGGAAAAAACAAACAAAATATATAAGAGTATATCTCCCTGGATCTATGGGAAAAGCCCCTCTGAACTACTCTCTCCTTTCCCATTGACCCAGTGAGGTTGATAATCCCCCCCCCCCCCCCCCCAGGGTTTCTCTGTGATGCTTTGGAGCCTATCCTGAACTAGCTCTTTTAGACCACGCTGGTCTCGAACTCAAGAGACCCACCTACCTCTGCCTCCCGAAGTGCTGGGACTAAAGGTGTGTGCCATCATCGCCCAGCTGAGGTTAATAACAGAGATGGGAGTTAAAGGGGTTCTTTTGGTTTGGTTGTCTGGCTTGCTGTGTTTGAGACTAGCTCCAGCTGGCCTAAACCTGGCAGTGGCAATGGGATTTTATAAACGTAATCACACACTGGACTCTGTATTAAAGATTTTATATACAGAGCAAATTATACCTTTTTTTTTTTTTTTTTGGTTTTATGAGACAGGGTTTCTGTTTTGGAGGCTGTCGGTCCAGCTTGGCCTCGTATGCCTTTAATCCCAGCATTCGGGAGGCAGAGGCAGGCGGATCTCTGTGAGTTCAAGGCCAGCCTGGACTACCAAGCGAGTTCCAGGACAGCCTCCAAAGCCACAGAGAAACCCTGTCTCGAAAAACCAAAAAAAGAAGCTAAATGACTAAGTCACACCTAGAGCCAAAGACAGACCAGGACTGCCTTTCTGCTAAGCTGCATTCTCTATTGTATATGGTCATTGGTCTGGGAGAAGAGAAATCCAAACACATGGGGTCTTCTCTCTCTATGCTTTCTCACCACGAGGGAAGACTTCACCCCGGTGAAACAGGGTTCTACTCTTGGGCCCTTCCCTGGGGATGAGACAATGCTAATCCTCCTAAATCCAATGGAAAATCCAGAGCCTCAGCTGGGGCAAAGGGCCTACTCTCTACAGCCTTTAAACCAGCCCAATCACTCAGCTCACCTCTGGGAGGCTGCCAGCCACTAGGAGTGGGATAATGTTTATGCTTTGGTGGCTCTGGGATTTTGGTTGGGGGAAACAGGCGCTCCACAAACTGGTATTCATCCACAGACTCCAGAAAGCTGGGGTTATCAGGAGGCCCCTGGGTTTGGCTCTAAAAAACAAACCGTTTTTCCATTAGTCCACACAACACGGAAGGGCTTTAGTAGGCAAAGAACTAAGCAGAATGAATAGCATAAGTAAAGACCTGAGCTGGAAAGAACCATATTTTTTCTAGACTGCAAAAGTACGGGGGTGAGGGTGTGGGGAGAAAGAGACTGGAAAACAGCCCAAACACTCTGAATCCCAAGATTTCTCCAGGATTCAAATGACAAGCTTTCATATTCCCAAAAAGCCAATTATAAGACTAATCAATATAGTATTCTTCAGTAAATTTTTCCGAATATGGGGTTGAAACTCTTCAGCTCCGAATATGGTGCTTAAACCGATCAGGCACCGAGCGGGAACGTGCAGCTGCTCTGGGTCCTAACCAACTCGAGCTATGCGGCAGCCACATTCCAAAACACAGACTACCTAGGCTCTGCCATCTGCCCTCTCCACCCTGCGTCTACCGTCAAGACAAGTGTCAACCCGAGTATACAGGAAAACCAAGGCCTCGTGAGGGAATGCAGGGTTGTTATGAGTGACAGTGAGGCTCACACACAGCCTTTTGCCCTCAGCTCCTAACTCTCACCAGTTGCCGTAGCCCGTAGCTCCACCGGACGCAGCGACACGAATCCCGCACAGCGGCTCGCAACACAGCGACCGCCATCTTGGCTTGACCAACTGTGAGTGCTACCTGCGCGCGCAATCGGTTCGGCCCCGCCCTCTACTGCGCGCTCCACCCACAGGGAAGGAACGCCAGCGTAATGCGAATGGTGAACGCGAGGACGGTGGTGGGCGGTACAAATACTAGCAATCTGCGCGGTCGCGCAACAGTGACGTGTCACGCGGCATGCGGTGAGGACGTGCGCGCCCTCGCTTCTTCCTCTTTCTTGACTCCATCTTCGCGGTAGCAGCTTCGGCGTCCGCGGGTTAGGTGAGACTCGGGGACGGCTAAACTCGTAGCGCTCGGTAGCGGGCCGACCGCGGGCTGAGAGGGTGCGGGGAAGTCAAGGCTGTTCTGCGGCCCGGTCTCCCTGCCTCATTCAGGTCTCTGGCGAGCTCGGCCTTCCGCGTGTGAGACAGCGCAATCTCCTGTTCCCTTCCCATCCCCTCATCTCCTTTCTTCTGGGGCGGTTCTTTCCTTTTCTCAGAAGAAACCTTTCTTTTTTTCAGTCGCCAACATGCAGCTCTTTGTGCGCGCCCAGGAACTACACACCCTCGAGGTGACCGGCCAAGAGACGGTCGCCCAGATCAAAGTAAGTGTGTAATGCTCTTGATTCCAGCTAACTGCTCCTTTATCCCCGGACCCGCAGGTAAAACTTGTCTATTTATAAACATTGGGTTTTTTATTTTTTGTTTGTAGGCTCATGTGGCCTCACTGGAAGGCATTTCCCCAGAAGATCAAGTCGTGCTTCTGGCTGGCTCGCCACTGGAGGATGAGGCCACCCTAGGCCAGTGTGGAGTAGAGGCCCTGACCACTCTGGAAGTAGCTGGTCGCATGCTGGGAGGTAACTGCTTTTTCACTGTTAACTAGTAGAATGTGTGCAGTTATAGAATGTGTCAGCTCATTTATGTGGCAATACACTTGTGCCTTCCAGAGTGGCACTGAATGTATAACCAGACTGGTTCTCGGGGTCCCCACTAAAATCAGAATTCAAAGTCGTGTAGTGGCATGTACACCTTTAATTCTAGCACTTGGGAGGGCAGCCAGAGCTACATAGAGAAGCCCGGTCAGGAAAAAAAATAACCATAACAATCTGGCTTTCTGAGCAGGGCGTTGGTGGCACACACCTTTAATCCCAGCACTCAGGAGGCGGAGGCAGGCAGATCTCTGAGTCGAGGCCAGTCTGATCTACAGAGGGAGTCCCAGTACAGCCTCCAAAACAATACAGAGAAACTCTGGCTGGAAAAACCAAAAATACATACAAATATATATTTGTTTTGGGTGTAAAATGTTAAGGATAGAGTCCCTGCCTTAGTATATACATCAACCCCCAGCACTGAGCAAACTGGCTACGGTGACATTGTAGGATCGCTATTCCGTGGCCCCGTCTCTAATCTCTGCAACTTGGTTTCATTCCTTGTTGGACCCACACTTGTCATTAGAAGCCCAAGTGTAAAGATTGTGCTGGGCAGGACGCTGCTAATTACCTGCTGCCTTTCTCACATCCCCACACAGGTAAAGTTCATGGCTCCCTGGCTCGTGCTGGAAAAGTGAGAGGTCAAACTCCCAAGGTGAGTGCCAGAACTGGCATTTGGACTTTCGTTTTTCCCTATTGCAGCAAAATCAAGACCTTTTTTCCTGTTTGCGTTTTCTTTCCTGGAGAGGAGCTGGTGGGAAGGATGCCAGGCATGGGAAAGGTCAACCAGGGTCTTAGCCAGTCCTTCCCTTTCCCAGGTGGCCAAACAGGAGAAGAAAAAGAAGAAGACTGGTCGGGCCAAGCGGCGAATGCAATATAACCGTCGCTTTGTTAACGTCGTGCCCACATTTGGCAAGAAGAAGGGCCCCAATGCTAATTCCTAAGTCCTATTGTGATTCTGGCACGCTAATAAAGCCACTTTGCTCAGATGTGTTACTCTCTTTATTTGTGAGGTCTTCCGGAAGAAAGAACCTAGTGAAGTGCCTCTTGGCCACTGGGAAGGGTAAATGAGAATCTGCCACCACAACGGCCAGCAGTGGTGCAAGCCTTTTAGCAGGTAGATCTGAATTCGAGGCCACCCTGGTATACATAGGAACCCTATCTCAACCAACCAAACAGATTTAGTGTTAGGCTCTTTTGTGGAGACAGTGCTTAAAGGGAGGGGAGGCCTTGAGTAGAAAGTGAATCGGTTTTTACTAAATTTGGGACTAGCTGTGCTATCAGTAAAAGTCCAAAACACAAGGAGCATGGGGCGTTGGAAATTGGTGTTGCCTGATTGCATTGGCATCCTGAACTTGATCCCAGCTGTGACTGAGCAGCTGATAAATAGTTCAGCCTTGGCTTCCACTACACCCAGACCCCATTGCTTCCTTGGAATGCACCAAGGAGTGAGGCCAAAGAGTTGTTGGACATTCCATCCATTCCATTTAAACTTAACGAGAGATACAGGTCAAACTGTAAAATGCGCTGTAACCAGTGTCTAGCCCATTGTAGACATGTGAATAGTGACTGTCTCAGACTTGCCTTACCGTTAGCCATTAGCTTTTTTACTATAGTGGGTGTGGGTATGTCCCACATTCATGTTGAGGTTAGGATAGCATTCAGGAGTGTTTCAGGGATGGAACTCAGGTTGTTAGGATTTGGAGGCAAGTGGTTGGTTTTTATTTTGAGACAAGTTCTCAAACGGAAGCCAAGGCTAGTTTTTTTTTTTTTTTTTTTCGAGACAGTGTTTCTCTGTATTGTTTTGGAGGCTGTCCTGGAACTTGTTCTGTAGACCAGGAACTCACAGAGTTCCTCCTGCCTCTGCCTCCCGAGTGCTGGGATTAAAGGCGTGCGCCACCAACGCCCGGCTAAGGCTATTTTTGACTCAATAATTTCCCTTCCCCAGCCTCCCAAATGTTATTAGACTACTACATGCTGTGTAGACTACCGCACTTGGCTTGAGCAGTACTCAAGAATCAAATCCAGGAATTCAGATCTCCAGCTCAGGTTCTTTCTAGAGGAAAAGTACAAACTGTAGGCTGTGAGCCATGCATAGTGGCACATACCTTTACTCCAGTTCTGAGAGGGAGAGGCAGGTAGATATCTAACAGGCCTGCCTGATCTACAAACCCTTTCTGGTGGCAGTCGGGGGTTGGGTGGGGGTGGGTGGCACAAAACAAAAACTTGGAATTGAATTTCAACCCAACTTACTGGTTGGGTTGCCCCAATTTGTTAGGTTGATATGGTATGTATCCAGATATTTTTATCATGCCTGGTTCATGATTTGGTTCTTGTGGTTTTTTTCTTTTTTTAATTAATTTTGGGAGTAGTAGCTCTGACTATCCTGGAACTGACTATGTAGAGCTCGAACTCAGAAATTACCCTACCTCTGCAGATCTGGTGCGGGGATTAAAGGTGTGTGTTGCTACGCCCTGCTAAGATTCTGGATTTTTTCGTTGTTGGTTGGTTTTGCTTAAAAGGTAGTTTATCTTTGCACAACTTGGTAAAACCACAGGGAACAAGCTGGGATCAGCGACATTAATCTTTTCTAACTCTGAGAGCTACCCTGTTGGTTAGCCCTTGGGCGTCTTCTGCGCATGCTCAAAGGGCTACTCAAGAGCCGGAAGTTACCGAGAAGCCTCGGGAAAGTGAGGCAAGTAGGCTACGTCGCCCCACGCACAAAGGCGGAAATAACCGAAGAAGCGCCGGAAGTGTCAGAGCTGTGTCTTCTGTGTGGCGCCGGACACGCGGTGCCAGTTGCCATGGAGCCCGTAGGGCTCTGCGGCTTCTGCCCAGGTGGGGAAGCGCTGCCGGCGCGCTACACCTGCCCGCGCTGCAACGCGCCCTACTGCTCGCTGCGCTGCTACCGGGCGCATGGTTCCTGCGCCGAAGACTTCTACCGTGATCAGGTGCTGCGAGAGCTCCGCGGCCGGAGTGCCTCTCCTAGCCGTCTGGCGGGAGCACTACGCCGGCTGCGCGAACAACGGGAGACCGAGGATGAGCCCGAGGAAATAGGCCTCAGGCCCGGCCCACGGCCGAACGGCCTTTCTGGGCTCTGGGAAAGCTTGTCACCGGCTGAGAAGGCGGCGTTCGAGCGTTTGCTGAGCCGTGGCGAAGCTGGACGCCTTCTGCCCCCATGGCGGCCCTGGTGGTGGGGCCGCGGAGTTGGCCCGCGGTTTATGGAGGAGTTGGATCGTGCCCCGGGCGGGGATCTTTCGGAGCCGGAGCCCGCCCCAGAGAGGACCGCGCACGAATCTGTGGATGATGCCGCCGCCGGTTCGCCACTTGCTGAAGACTCAGCTGCCGCCCGGCCGCCCGCAGTGCCCCCTCGTATCCCCGCGCTGGCCAGCCTGAGCCGCTGCCCGGCCTCGCCACTCGTGCGCTTCCAGCTGCCCAATGTGCTGTTCGCCTACGCTCACACTCTGGCTCTGTATCATGGAGGGGACGACGACGCTCTACTCTCTGATTTCTGTGCCACGCTGCTCGGTGTTTCTGGAGCCCTGGGCGCCCAGCAAATCTTTGACTCTACGGAGGAAGCCCTGCAGGCCGCAGCCCACGTACTGGAAGCGGGTGAACACCCACCTGGGCCGTTGGGTACGCGGGGTGCTATGCAAGAGGTTGCTCGTATTCTGCTGGGCGAGGGTCCTATCAACCAGAAAGGCTACACGCTGACAGCACTGGGGCACCTGGCCCAGACTCTGGGCCGAGCCCGGAAACAGACTGTGATTAGCGAAGAACGAAATCGCCTTTACCGGGCTCGGAAGAAGTGCCAGTTCCTCCTGGCCTGGACCAACGAAAATGAGATTGCCCTCACACCACTGGCTCTAGACTGTGCCAGGGTCCACCGAGCCCATGCTGTCACAGCCGAGGAGATAGCAACCCTTACTGGGGAGCTGGAGCGGCTTTGGGGAGGCCCAGTGCCACCTGCTCCGAGGACTCTCATTGAGGAGCTCCCTGGCTGAGCTGGGTGTCTGGTCATTAATAAAGATGTCACTGGTCTGCCCAAATGTTGGCAGTACCTTTCTTTTCTTCAAAGACCGTGCCCTATCCTAGACTCTCCTTTAAGTCACTGTGTAGCTGAGGATGGCCCTGAAGTTCTGAGCCTGCCTCCACCTGGACAGTGCTGGGATTACAGGTGTTAGTCACCTTGCTAATTTATGCAGTGCTGAAGGTTAGAGGCTTCTTGCATGCTAAGCAAGCACTCTGTATAACTGAACTGCATCCCCAGCCCTGAAGTCTCATTTCTAAGGGAAATCAGCTGTTCCATGAAGTTAGCTGGGCACACAAACCACTTTGCAACGTTGCTAGCAGCTAGTCCTCCACCTGTATCCCCCCCCCCAATCACTGACCCCAGGGTAGAAGAAAAACACACAGTTCCCTCTTTTTTTTTTTTTTCCAGTTCCCTCTTCTTGCTTCAGACTCGTCTGAGGCTAATCATCCCTGCCAAGTAGAATGGGGTGCCGGCCATCACTCCACATCTGTTCAGGCCTGAGCTAGTTAGCTGGAATTGCTTCAGTAGACATAGGGTATGATTCGGTAAGGCACACGCTTGCAGTATTCCTGCCAGGCGTGGCCGTACTTGCGGAGGCACTGCTGCTCATCTCGGGCCTCCCGGTGTACCAGCAGCGCAGTAAAGTAGAGGACGTAGAAATAGGGCAGCAGGTGGGACACCCCTGTGGGGAAGGGGTTGCGTGATCAGACACCAGCACCAGTGTATAAAGGCTTTCTCATCTCAGGACACACAGGGTGGCAGGGTGCATCAGGGACACACTGAGTCCATCTCCAGTCACACCAGACTGAACCTCCCTTCCCAAACCTACTCACCACAGGGCAAGGACCAGGCCAGAGCCATGATGAGGTCTCCCAAGTAGTTGGGGTGACGAACCATACCCCACCACCCAGATACCAGCAGCTGCCGCCCTGTGGCAGTAGGGATGGTTTCAAGACCTGCAGAGGTATCGAATGAAACGGAGCTGCAAAGCTCTGCCCTTCCTCTCACCCATGGCCTCCAGGAGACCCAGCTTACCAGCCACACTGGGGTCAGAAGGGTTCTTCCGGAATGTGTTTTTCTGGGAGTTAGCCCCGCGGAAGATGTAGTAACCAATAACTGAGGGAAAGTATGGTCAGGTAGTGAGGTGGGAGTCCAAGCCTTCCTCCTAGCCCTGACCACAGCCTGCCAAATCCCAGGCTCTGTTATGTATGGTCAGGTAGTGAGGTGGGAGTCCAAGCCTTCCTCCTAGCCCTGACCACAGCCTGCCAAATCCCAGGCTCTGTTATGACCCCCAGGAGCCAGCTCCCAGCTTTAGAGCATCAGGGTCTGGGACCCTGATCTGAATCAAGTATGAAAGACGATGGAGGGGAAACCAAGGCCCTCCTACTGACCCTTAATGAGGCAGATGAGCAAGGCCATGGGCAACCCCAGAGGCTGTGGATGGTACAGCAGGAACTGGGCCTGCAAGCTGTAGGTGAAGGGTACCCAGGCTAGGTCTCCAAAGGCCAGCATGAAGCCAAATCCATCATGTATTATATCCATGGTGGTGAGGACAGACTCCTGCAGAGACAGGACCCAGACACACTGGCTTAGTCCAGATGACATTAGGATCCTTCCTTGCCTCCCCTTCCAATTCAGCCTCACCTCATACCAGAGAGCATCACCCACATACAGCAACTGGAAGGCATTGACTAGCCACATGGCCAGTGAAGGACTCCCCCGCAGCTCTGCCTCCTGTATCAGCAGGGCCAGGTTAATGAAAACCTGAGGGAAGTGGGGACAGAGCCATTGAGTAGGAGCATCCGAGTGGAGAAGTGTCGACCTCTCCGCTCTCTCAATTGTCAGTTCACGTGTTGACTGGATCCAGGTCGAAACTGCCTATACTTAAAACTCCTGCTTTTGAATCTGAGCTTTGCAACTTGGGCAGAGGATGTATCCTTGCTAAAGCTCACTTTCCCACTGCCATATGGAAAATGGGGATAAGGGCCCTGTCTTGAGTTGCAGTTTAAAGAATTTATATAATGCCTGCAGAGCTGAGGATTAGTTTGTCAAGAGCCTGTACTTTGTACCGTTGTTTTAATAGCTCTGGTAGCGTCTTCAGTAATACTGACATGGTACTTTCATTAAGGGTACCTCTAATTTTAAAAAATTCACTAAGTAGTCTTGATTGGCCTGGAACTATGTATAACCAGGCTGAAGTCACAAAAATCCATCTGCCTCTGCCTCCTGAGTGCTGGGATTAAAGGTTGTGCGCCACCACATCCAGCCCTCACAGTAATTTTAGAAGAAAACTTCATCCCACCCTGTTTCTCCAGTGAGAAAAATAACCTTTGAGTATGTATGTGGGCAGGCTAATCTGCAGATCTGTGAGGAACAAGGCCAGGTGGGGTTACAATAACTGTAATCCTAGCTACCTGAGTAGCTGAGGAAATGGAGGACACATTGGTTTTGAGACTAGTCTGGGCTATCCCAGTGAGACCTGTTTCAAAACCAAACCAAACCCAAACTCAGATTCATAGAGGGTACTTTGGCACTCCTGTCTCTGTGTAAGATCTCCAAGATGAAAGCCTTGTCTCTTTGGAACTCTCCACCACCATCCGTGCCTGTATGATATTAACCCAAGAACAGCTGGTGTGTTGTCAGGGCCGCCGGTGACAACACCCCACTGGAGGCACCGAGCTGCCCTGCCCTTCAAGCAGCTTGGTCATTGTCTTTGAAGTCAGTTTTGTACTTAAGCACTGCATCCAAATAGTCACATGCTCTCCCAGCTCCCTGCCTGATTTGTTCCCTGCACCCCCAGAACCTGTCATCACTGTCACTGTCATGCTACGTATGCAGTATATATTTAGTTTTGTGACACTAGGGTTGGAATTGAGGGCTTTTTAGTGTGTGTGATAGCCAAATGCTCTCTACCTAATTTTTTTTTTAAGGTTTGGTATTCAGCCAAGCGTTGGTGGCACACGCCTTTAATCCCAGCACTCAGAAGGCAGAAGCAGGCGGATCTCTGTGAGTTCCTGGTCTACAGAGTGAGTTCCAGGACAGCCTCCAAAACGATACAGAGAAACCCTGTCTCAAAAAAAAAATTTGGTATTCAAGACTCCTCTTGATCTTAATACTAAAGCAAAACCATGACTTCATGGAAAAACAACTAATTGGCAAATTCCTGTCCACCCAGCAATGTTATCCCACCCTGTCCTCCTGGCCCCAGACCAGCACAGTTAAACCCAGCATGCCCAGCATACCCAGCCGATGAGGCCAGGCCTCAGCTCACAGAAATATTTGAAGTCAAAGGAACCAAGGCGAGGGTTCAGTTCCCGTCCCAGAAAGAAATCATAAATGGAATTTCCTGGGGGAATAACAGAGTGAAGGCACAGTTAAGCATCCCATCTGCCTCACCCCTACCTCACTGGGACGCTTCTCACCTGAGTTTCCTCCAGGTGCCAGGGCCGAGACAGGAGCTGCCAAAGCCTTCACATAGAGAAGGAGGCTGAAGATGAAGCTGGTGAGAGTGGTCGCGAAAGCCAAGGGCAGGAGCATTTCAGAGAGTGCACCCAGGGGCAGCCCAGCTGACACCCCTAGCCCCACCAACAGGGCTGTTAGGACCAGAGCCTGGAAGCCTGAACCACAGCAGAGTGAGTTCTGGGATTGCATACATCCACAACTAACGCGCGCGCGCACACACACATCCACAACTCACTCTCCTCCCTCTCCTCTCTCACAGAGTAGCAGCACAGCGAGATTCCCATAGGGGAACGTGTCAACAAAGCTAGTCCACGGATCCCAACCCAACCCTTCAGGGACGGGGAGGGGAGGACCCAGGCACCATTAATAGGGTAGCGCAGGCGACTCTTGTCCTTTAGTTCCAGTCCTTCGGCCACCTACAGGTATAGGAAAGGTCTTATAGTAGTTGGGGAGGCCTTCTCCCCGGTCGAGCTCTCCTTGTCCCCTCCACCCCAGTGTTAGAACAGAACGCACACCTTGCGTGCAGGCAGCAGGTAGAGCGCCACCTGCAGACCGAGCCAGATGAACAATAGCAGCAGAGCCTGTGGACTCCACAGCTCCTCCAGCCCAGGCAGGTAAGTGGGTGGGCCCAGGAGTCGCGCCGGGCCGGATCGGACCACCAGGAGCAGATGGAACATGGTGGCAGGCAGCAGGACCAGCATCACCGTGACGCCTGGAGAGAGGGCCACTGTGTTTTGTGTCCGTTCCCCAGAGCTCTCCCAAGTCCACAGGCACCTTGGGTCACCTGCCTGCTTAGCAGGTTCCCTGCGCCATACTCCTACCTTGATTTTCATCTTAGTCCTCCCAAAGACCATCCTCCTGCTCTTTCAACTGTCTCCCATTCCACAGACTCCCTTCTGTACAGCTGCCAGCACCGGTCCATCCGTTCCTGCAGACATTCTGCCACCTGCGCGCCCCCATCTTTCTGCCTCCAAATTCCCAAAAACCTAGCCGTTAGCCGTATCATACCCTGTTGCCGTTAAGTAGCATCGGTTCAGCCTCCACCCTCAACCTTCCCAATTACCCAATGGCCCTCCGAATTCCAATGAGGCCTGGGAGGCCTCACGAGGAGTCATGATCTCTGCGTTGCCGGGTAGCGATGGTTCACAAAAGATCAAGGGAACACATCATGCCCTATCCTGACGGTCTGGTTAAGCTTCTGTCTGGACACTGAGGGGAGACAGCAGCAGCTCTTGTCTAGCAATCTTTAGATGGACGCGCCCCCTGCCCATCCTGGGCCCAGCATAGCAGCCAATCAGCGCTAGGAGGCGGGACCGCGCTATGGTCTCAGAAGCTTCGGCATTAAACCCCACCCCTGACAGGTCCCGCCCCTTCAGGCAAGAGGGAAGAGGCCACACAAGTTTATTAGACGGGTCAGACTCCCGCCAGCGGGGTGAAGACAGCGAATTGGGAGGACAGGATATAGACAATAGGGCCGCCCCGTGACGGCGTTGGTAGGATCTAGCCGCGCTCGCAGATGACCTCGACAACACTGGGTTCCATGGGTACTGGGTCCGGACAGCGAAGGGCAGCTGAGGCTACCACTTCGTCTAGCAGCAGATGCACTAGCTCCTCATCAGCCACAAAGCGCCACAAGTAGAGCTGCAGGAAGTGGCAGTCCACCTGCACCTGCTGCAGCCCGAACCGCCCAAAGGTACGCAGTCGCACACACTCCAGGAGCGTCTTCAGGCTAATCTTAATGATGCCAGTCAACACCGACACCTGCAAATGGTCACAAAGGGATGCAGCTCAGTGACTTCAGGCTTTGAGGGAGAAGCATACACCTAACTTCTGAGCAGAGACCAGGGAAATACAAAGACAGAAATTTCCAGGGCCTAGATAAAGAGGCAATAATCCAATGTTGCCACTAGGAGGGGCAAGGGCAGATAAGCCAAAGTGGTCAGATCAGAGATGGGAGTAGCAGTCACCACTGACTACAAAGAAGAAACAGAGGAAAGATATCCCTGAGCTTGGGCCACAGTGGGGCAGAGATCATATGGGACTGGGAACCCGTGAAGACTCAGGACTATTTTGGAGAAAAGAGTGAGAGCAAAGAAGACTTGAAGTCTGTTGTGGAGTATCACTTTAAGATATGTTACATTCATTTATGCTGTGGAATATTTGTTTAATGATGCAAAGATGAGTTACATTTGTTTGATTAAATAAAATTAACCTGGGGTCAGGAGGCTGAGTCAGCAACTAGCTGACGGAAGTGGTAGGAACCATGTGTCAGTCACTAGGGTTCTTAAGGGGGAGTTGAGCAGAAGGATGCCCAGTTTTTGGGGGGAGAGGAGAGTTAGAAGGTTAGCTAACTTGCTATTTAGCATCTCTGAGCCAGCAGAATTTCACCTCAACCTATGAATCCTGAGTTTTATAGAGGGATAGAAATCTAGATAAAGTTCCCTTTAGCGGCTGCAATAGAGCCAGTGCCTAAGAGAACAGAATTCCTGTTTGGCATTGGCCTCACCAGACCTCTACTGGTAGCTGTGGAATTGCAATTGCAGTTGCTTAAGGAGCAGTTACTGAATTTAATGAAAAACAACAGAAGTCAGCATCCAGGCTGGAGCGTCAGGTGGTTTTGCTCTGGACTACCTAGAAGCCCTAGAGACAGAGACTAGATGGTCAGAGTGACAGTTAGGCTCAGATGGGGCCTCGGGCTCCCTGGATTGTTATGGAAGCCAACCTTCCCCCTGGGATCTAGGCAAGAAGGTACGTCAGACCTTGTTGAATTCCACAGGACTGAACACATCGATTCGTTCAGAGAACAGCTTCTGGATATTGCTCAAGAGGTTTGTGTCCATTGGAGCACTGGAAGGTGGAGGGAAGAAGTCAGAGCCCATTTTTCACACTCTCCCTCTTTTTTCTATCAGGGAGGTTTCCCTCCCAGCCTGACCTGGGTGTGTAGCTAGGTGCATAGCGGCCCTGCTGCCGAGAGCTGCTGTATACAGAGAAGGTCCTTTTGCTAGAGTCGCTGCTCTGGGCTTTGCGGACACCCTCTTCATACAGGAGCCCCACCTGGAGGTGAAAAGAGGTGTTGCAAATGGAGCATGGGGTACTAGCAGCAAAAAATTCCCTTACCTACTAGTTGAAGAATCATAGGTATGGTCACCACTTACATAATCCGGTGTGGAACAAAGGCAGGGCAAGAATTAGTCTGAAACCCAAATTTCAGCCCATCCCTGCTTCAACTTTCTGGGTAACTCTGGGCCTCCACATTCCCATAGGTATGATATGGAGGTTCTGGAGGCATAATATAGGTACAGCCAGACCCCCTTTGCTTGGTTGTTGGAGAGCTGTTATCCAAGTCCCCAGCATGCATCAGGGCTCCACCAGCTAGCCTAAAGCAGCACCTGTACATCAATAGCTGTAGTGTCCTCTACCACACGCTTCATGACAGCACGCACGTTCCGGGGCTCCAGAGTACTGAGCCAGTCACGAGTCTCCACACTCTTGCGTAGCATCTGTGATATGACAAGGCCCTGCACCTTCACATAGTGCGTCAGCAGTCGCCGTGCTGTCTCTCTGGCCTCTGCACACAGTGTACTCACAGGTGTAACTGGAGACTGGTCCTAAGCCAGGAAAGCAGAAGACAATGGTTGTAGGTACTAGGGACAGATCAGAGGCCACTGCCAGTTAGGAGGTGAGCGAATCTTGGGAAAGATGGCGGCTGGGATGGACGCAGACTGCCAGTCTGGTTGTGGCAACAAGAGAACATCCAGCCTCCTGTGTTCCCCGCATTAGCTCCCTTTCCCTCTCCTGAGTCACTTCACCTGCACCAGAAACTGTTCGTCAGTGAGTGTGAGGATGTAGGAGATGGTGGCTGTCTCATAATCCAGGCAGAGGCGAGAGAGCAGCAGAAGCAGGGCAGGTGGTGTGGCTCCTCCCTTTTCTCCAGGGCTGTCACAGAAGCTCTGGGCTGTCTGGCACATGGAGCGGATGAAACCCACAATGAGGCCCTCACGGACTCCCTGGCTGCAGAACTCACCCTGTGAGAGGAGACCCAGATCCACAATCAGTCCAATCAGTCCTCTCTCCTAGGCAGGAGAGCTTCAGCAAAGCCAGGACATGGGGCTGTTCCTTGCCCTTTGCCCTAACCTCCTCCAAAGGACAGTCTCATCCTGCTTCCCAGCCTTGCACATGGTGGGGCTGGCAGGAGTAAGGTCTCTGGGACCCTTCTATACTTAGCTCAGTTGCATAGCATTTTCTCCTCCAGACTGCCTCCTAAGAACAAATCTATATCCAGGGTGCCTGGGAAAGGACTGTGTGGGGGCTGGTGACTTGTCCTCAGTTCCCCAAGTACGATGCTAGAGGGCCAGTCAGCAAAATGAATAGCCAAAGACAAAAGACAGACATACCCGGAAGTAGGGCTTGTTGGAGAAGGACACCTCCTTGGCTGTAAAAAGATGCACAGAGGCCAGAGAGGCCTTGATGTGGCTCAGGATGGAGCTGGACACATTGGCCAGCAACTCAGCCAGGCTGGGGCCCTCCTTCCCAGCCAGGCGAGGCGCTGCCAGGGCCTGGCGAACATCGGTCAGGCAGCTCAGGAAGGCAGCCCTCAGACCCTGCAGATGATGACTCAGGCGCTCTCGGGCTACTCGCTCCACAATCTCCGTGGCTGACTCTGAAAGCCCAGCAGCGGCTAACAGGGCCCCAGGTGCTCGCAGGCGCCGGTGGAAGCGATCTAGTGCCCGTACCAGCAGAGAGTTGTCACTGCCACCCTGCTCCTGTGCCAGCCGCCGTTCCACCAGTACAAAGTAGCGGCCGCCCAACTCACGCGCAAAGGCTGCCAGCTTCTGTGCACCAGTAGGGCCCTGAGCAGCAAACAGCTCCTGGTAGGCCGCTGCCACCTGGCAGAGGCCACCGACGAAGCCATTGCCACCCCGGTCGGTGAATTCTAACACATCCGGTGCTGGTGGGGAGGGCCCCAGCTCAGTCTCCAAGCTGCTCAGTTCTTCCTCCAGCCGCCCCCGAGCATGTGCCAGGAACTCCTCGCACAGCTCCTCGGCTGGCTCACCCAGGGCCAGCAGCAACTCCACACACTCAGCCTGCTCCGGGGCACCCGAGCAACCTTCCCTATGGGGATGGAGATGCAGTAAAGACAGCTGGTGGGGTGCAGGGGAGACAAAATGTAGGGAATCAGGCCCAGAAACCACACCTGAAGCGCTGCCGCAGCTGCTGGGCCAAGCGGGCTGTGATGACCTGGCAGTCATCCTGGATGGCGCGGAAGGAGGGTAGGTGTTGGTACTGCTGTAGCACAGCCCTGGCTCGACCCTGGTAGCGCACGGCCTGCCCATAGGCACCCAGCTCCACGCACTTGGTGAGGCGCGAAGGCAGCTCAAAAAGGAACTGCAGCTTCCGCAGCAGTGCATGCACCCCTAGGGGACAGGAAGGGCCCGTGAGCTGCAGAGCTCTGGATGGCTGATTGCAGGGCCTGGCCAGCACAGAACCCACCTGCTAGCTTGGTGATGCGCTCATGTCGGTCCTGAAGCGTGGCACTGATGCGTGCACTGAAGTTGGTGATCACTGCCATGTTGGTAGCCAGCCGGTCCATCTCGTCTTCCATCTTCCGGAAATCATTCTTCATCTTCCGAATGGTGTCTAGAAAAGCAAACACCCAGAGGGAAATGGAAATGACCAAGGCAGAGAGGTGTCTCTCACTGATACCAGTGACTTGCCTGGAGTGGCTTAGGTCTTGGCCACAGCATGTATGGGCAAGAGGGTCATTATGATGGTTTAAGGGTAAGCTCTGCTTACCTCCATCCCCGGTGCAAAGGAAAGAGGGTGAGAATCCTTAAAATTGGAGGAAAAGTGTTTAAGAACAATAAATAAAAAGCACCCAGTCACTATCCTGACTGACTCCATTTTGTCCAAACTTGCTCTCTGTTTTTCCTTCTTGGTCTCATTTTGTTCTCAATACCAGACCTGAACCTGCATATGCACACCTCAGGGCTCCAGGACCCTTAGCTGAAAGAGGTTGCTGCATGTTCCTCTTGGCTCCCTACTTTTGTCCTTTCATATATAACCCTGGAGCTATTGACTAGGGCTCCAGATGTGGAGGACCAGCTGTCATGAGCAGCAGAGCTGAGAGAAGGATTATCCTAAGACAACCTAGGCCTGCAGGATCAGCCTGACAAGTTATTGTAAAATACTGGTGCCAGTTAAAGTCCTAGGTCAGTCAGGATTACAGAGTAAGACACTGTCTTAAA